GGGGCCTTATACAAATCTATAACACTCAAGATCTTTACTTTCAAAGGGTCAACCATATCCCAAGTGGGACAGCAGGGATTTGGGGAGGAGGGAAGTTCCTTAGGCAGAAACTAGAAATGATCAGGCAGAGATAAAAAAGTGGCCAGCCGAGACGAGGAGATGAGGGAACTGTCTAGGTCAGGGGTGTGGTGGGCTGAGCGACTGTTGGGGGTGCAGGCCTGGAGGGGATACTTTTTCTAAGTCCTCACAGTTCAGCAGTGTTCTCTCTCCCCCCTCTCTCCCTCTCCCTCTCTCCTCTCTTTTCTTCTCCTCTCTCTCTCTCCTCTCTGTGTCTGCTCTCTTCTCTCTCTTCTCTTCTCTTTTCTTCTCTCTCTCTCTCATTCTCTCTCTCCCCCTCATTCTCTCTCTCCCCCTCATTCTCTCTCTCTTTCCCTCCCTTTGTCTCTCTCTCTCTGTTTGTGTGGGCATGTGGGTTGCTATGATGGAAGACTTCCTAGGTGGGGCTAGAGACGCTTTTTGAAAAGACGTCACCTGGGAAATAAGTTTCCATGACTGCACATGTATGACCTGTATCAGATTGCTTGCCTTCTTAGGGAGTGGGAAAGGAAGAAAGGGAGGAGGAAAATTTGGCATTCAAAATCTTATAGAAATGAAAGTTGAAAACTAAAAATAAAATAAAGGAAAAGATTCAGAAGATAATCATAACTGAGTAAAGTCATAAAAGCAAATGTTAATTAATAAAGCAAGCTGCTTTCTTTAGCCAAGAGAAGGCTAAGGAGTGACATAATCAATAATTTTCAAAAATGATGGAAGCCATTAGTAACTATTAAAAAAGAGAAAAGATGCCACATGGAGACTGTTTTTAAATCTTCCTGAATCATAGAGTGACAGAGCTGGAGAGCCCTCAAGAAATCCATTTTTCATCTCTTCCCCACTGGAAAATTGAACTGTCCCTGGATTTTGATAGACCAGCTTTGGCCTTGAAGGGGTCTTCCATTCTGATGGGGGAAAACCACACATAAAGAAAAGCTAGACTGGAGGTGGGGATGGGGTAGTGCCTGGGCATCCACCAGGTCTCACAGCAGTCCTGGAGCCCTCTCCTCTTCCCGATTCCCCTCAGCATGTTACCTTTTCCTGGTCGAGTGGAAGCTGTGGAGGCCAAAGCCTGACTTTGATTTTCCATTTGAATCTCTAGCACTTAGCATGGGGCTTTTAATAAATGCTTGCTCTATCTATCTGTGACAATTAAAAAGATTCGAGAGACAGTTTCTGGGTAATTTCATCATTTTATTAATAAAGGCAGCAGATTATTAATAAAAGGATAGTCATTGAGCCATCTCTCTTAGACCAAAGACCCCTAATGTCGGTGGGGTCATAGTTTATATGCCCTTTGAAGGGTAGGTATTCCTGAGGGATAGATATCAATTCGGATTGGTTAACACAATGGGAGGTATGGGCTCTATTAAAGTGAAGGTCTTGGGGTACTTGAATTAGGTCTCTCAGATCTTGGTCAAAGAGACATCAATTTCCATATCTTGATACATCTTGATAATAGGGAGAATCAACCTTTCCCCAGACCTGTCTGAGCAAACACAATGAGCAGAAATACACCCATTAGCCCAAACTTAGAATTTCTTTTACTATCTGATTAGATCTTGGCCTGGGTAAATCTCTAAGAGAGATTTTCCACACTGGTTGGTTTCTGGATAAGGAAGTAGAAAAGGTGAAAAATCTGGGTCCTAATACAATAATTAGTTATTAACTATAAGAGAGAAACATTCATTTCTCACATATCTATCTGTCTATCTATCTATCTATCATCTATCTATATCTTTCCTCCATCTGTCCATTCCTTTCTTCTTTCTTCCTTCCTTCCTTTTTTCCTTTCATCCTTTTTTCTTCCTTCCTTTCCTCCTCCTCCTTTCTTCTTCTTCTTCTTCTTCTTCTTCTTCTTCTTCTTCTTCTTCTCCTCTC